AATTAAATCCATATATTCTATCATAATTTTTCATAAATTTACTTAAACTATTTATTCCAAATACACGTTTTGTTAATTCCTTGACAAACTCTTTTTTTTTTCCCTCTATTTCCTATTAAACCACCTCCTCCAAATACATTATAAAAGTAAATACTACAAGAGATGGCAATTTTTAACTAATGTTACAAATAATCATATATTAATTAATATAATGCTTTAAATAGGAATTTTAGTTATTAAAAGAAATAAAAGTTTAATTACACAAGTACTTGATGGTTGAGATTATGTATTTAATTTAAATCTCACACGATTAATTCAGCATTTTACTTCATTTTAATTAAAATTACACAATATCTTTAATTAAATATTTAATTTAAGCTATTGAATTTTGTTCTTACCGAAAATCTGCTGTAGAGATGATCCTCCGAGTAAAATTGGTGAGCCTCCTTCGCTGGTACGCTTGATGCTCCAAGATGGGGGTGGTACCTGCAAAAGAGACTCCGATGCTAAAGTTAGTGTTTGCGGGTGTATGAGTCTCGTATAAGTAATGCACGTACCTTTGTGTGTATTAGGGTTTTGTTGGGCCTTGGGCCCGAGATCAGTTTATGACCTAATTGGATAGCGAGCCGATGTCGCCTAGCGCGTGTCCGAGGTCACTCCTAGGGTTTTGTTGGGCCTTGGGCCCGAGATCAGTTTATGACCTAATTGGATGGGGAGCCGATGTCGCCTAGCGCGTGTCCAAGGTCACTCCGCGCTGTGATGTCGAGCTCAAACTTGGCATAGCGGTACGGATAGTACAAATTTAATTTAATAACTATTTAAAAATTTGTTTCTCCAAACATTTAAAAGTTACCATTTCCTATATCATGGATGAGTGAGAGCTTGTTTGCATACAAGTTTAGAAGTTCTAAGAGTTTTATTAGGAAAAAATAGTCTTTATTTTCATTAAAAAAAACTCTTAAAAGTATTTTTATTTGTATCCAGAGACATGCTCTAAGACTAAAGTTTCATTACAAGTTTTAATTTGTGAGCTAACTCATAAAAGGTTTAAGGCAATTGTTTCATGCAACATTCATTTTACCTCTTAACCCAATATTTTAAAAAGTACTTTATAGTTGAACTACAACAATAGTCATTTACCTACATTCATTCCCTTCCCATTCTTTCATTTTAAACAATCTAAAAATTGTTTTTCTTCTCGATTCTACCTTTGTTTTCATTAATGCTGGTTATTGTTTCATTATTTTGTTGCGATTTTCAAATAGGTAAGGTTTTGTGTTTATTTTATATATATATTTGCATTTTTGGTTCATCAGCTAGATTGTTAAGTCTTGATTTGGATTGACTAATCTAGATTAATAATGATAGACTCGGATCAAAGGTGATTGTCTAGATTACCCGATCTTGAAACACTTTTGCAATCCATATTGGGTAATCTGGATGGACTTTTTCGAATTGTAACGACCTAACAGACCATTATACTTATTACAACTTAACAACTAAGTAGCGAAAAACATAATTTTACATAACTAGGATTAACATGTAACAGTTCTTGAATATAAATGCAACAATACATGTGTATAGGAATAACAACTAAAAGCATAAAAATCCTTCAATGGGATTACATCATAATCTTGTACATACACAATTATCCAAATTGTAAAACAAAATTTATAAGTTGTTGGTCAAACAACTATTAGTTATATTAGAACAATCTCCACCCAACACATTGTCACCACCAACATGACATCAACATGACATCAAAATCTTTACTCGCCCTCTAACATATTCCTACCTTATTCCCATGATAATATGATCATCACACTCCAATAAGAAGGAAAAGTAAGGGTAAACTCATAATTAAGGAAACAATATAATATAGAGCAAAATAGATAATTATATAAGCATCATCAATATCAACCATTTAACAACTTTCAACAACTCAACTTATCACTTTACAACATATCCAACCAATGACACAACTCATTCATGTATCAACAATTCATCTTTACAACATGGCAACACCACAACATAACAACTAAATGCATCATCACACATTTCAACTAAGAGAGCTCTTATAATATAAATGAGTAGTTTAAGTGGTTTAACTCTATCGAATCACAAAGTATGATCCCAAAAATAAAAGATCAAGTCAGCAACGTCTAACATATTAATGTCAAGTCAACATAACAGTTAGCATACCAATGCCTAAAAACAATTGCACTAATTTCTCTAATTTTTTCACTTTAGACTAAGAAAGTCCAATATCACTATCAAAAGTATAACAACTTGGATGTGAGCCTATCACGATATTATTATGCATCAATTAAGCCTATATGTAATTAACTTGTCAACTATCCTCCAAATATTGCACACCTTTTTAATAATTAGTTAATGGTTTTACCTTTTGACTTCATACCTTACTCAAATTGATCACTTCTAAATCAATATAATTCAACTTGACCCTATACGATATCAACTAAGAATCTAAAAGAGACTCAACAATTTACTTCAAGAGACAACAATACTCAATAAGAGTTTTTCGACAATTGGGTGCACCACAACACATATTCACATAATGAGATATTTTAACTTTTAAAATAATATCTCCCCTCTAATCCTAAGTTCATAACACAAATCAACATCATGTATTATGCATTCACTACACAACTTTATACAACAACACGCTTCACATGTTTATCACAACTTAACACCCTATAAATTCAAACAACAAGCTACTTTCAATCTTTAAAACAACTTAAATCTTCATCATACATCATCATAGACCACTTACTATGAATTGGATTCAATTATCGTCAATCTTCGTGTAAATAACCAGTACAACAAGATATGACTTAGAAAATTACAAATTTTGAAGAAAACAAACACTTCAAGCCATGAAAAGTGCATCTTAAGCAAGCAAAAATTGCTTTAAGCACTCACAATTTACTCCAAGCGAGCTTAGATAAAGAGCACCCCTAGAAAGCGTGATCAATTAACTTAAGTGAGTAACTTTTTGCTTTGAGCGATGGAAATTTGTTCAAAGCGACCAATGAGCACTCCAAAAAAACTAAGTTAAATAACACTTTTGAAATGGTTTTACTAGCTTGCTTAAGTTAGTAAGTTATCGATTTGAGCAAGCACATCCAGGCAGAGAACACAACTCAAGGGGTTCATCAACTTACACACCTTAACCTATATCAACAATTTTCAATTCTTCCATCCATACCAACATAATATGTAATCACCAAAAGCAATATATATACATCATAACAACTTAGATTCGACAAGGAAATCAACATGCAACCACCTAGGAATCAAGGAATAAAATTTTCTTTTCATCCCACCATGAACAACCAAGTAACCTAGAACATCAATCTTTAGTTCTTCAAATTCAACCATCAAAGCTATCAATGGGCAAATCAACAAAAAAGAATTAAACACATGCAACACCATAAAGAGTAATCTATAAGTTTCCCTTACCTCAAATCTCTCAAAATCAAGGAAAAGGAAGAAGAATGGGACTCCCTAAGCTCTCATTGTATGACAACTTCAAACCTTCGATTCTCAACTCCCAAACCTCAAATTCCAACTCTTCTACAATAATCTATGCTTTGGGGAATAGGATCGAATCACTTTTATGAAGTCAGAAGGAAAAATAATCCCCTTTTGCTCCAAAGCCTATGTCTTTAAAATCTCTCTCTAAATTTTTGAAGAAATGAACTTGTAAAGTTACCCATATAATTCATATAACTCATTGATTTGTAGTGGATTGAACCGAATTTTCAACAAAAAAGTGAGTTAAGTTGATTTACTTTTTAACTAATCTGTTGTGTACTAACCTAGGTGAGTTGAGTTGGCACAACTCATGACCTAATCCATCCTATTGACTTTTGATGGTTGATTTAGATGTGTTCAAATTTTGAAATAAGATGTGATATATTTTTTAGAATGATTTAGAATTATTTTTCAGGTGGTCCTAATCCATTTAGTATTTTATATTATTTGATAAATTGTAATTTTTTTTAACAATAATGTATTAATAATAAAATAATATTTTATAAAACATGACATTGTATTTATAATATTATTATTATTTTAACTAAATCTTAATTTAAGTTTATATTTATCTTATTCTACGATTTACTATATATATA